TCCAAAACACTGACTTCTGAACTTTTGCCAGAGGTGCCTCTCTCTGGTGACCATGAAGCTGATTTACCAGACGACATGTTAAACCTGTCAGTTCTGAATATGCAGTAAAGTGTGCAGCCACAGGAAGGAGCATGTTTAAAGTCACAATGACTTATTTTGCAGGCAAGCTAGCACAGTTGCTTTTATACCTGGAGGCTTGTGCAAGCCCTTAGATCTTTGAGCCAGATGCTCAGCAAATTGACAAATTCTACTGAAACAAGTGGGCCTACATTGATGTAGATCAGCTCTGAATCTGGCCCTCTACTTTTGAAAATGTGGAGCTCTGCTTTTCAATATCACACACACTTCAGATGTCAGGGAATACTGAATCATTGCAAAAATAAAAGAGAAGGAAGAAGTTCAGTTGTTACTCAGATGAAATCAGTGTTAAAACTCATGTATTTGTATGCTCAAGTACAGACTGCAGCACCCAGTGGATCTTGAAACAAATTTACTGATACCCCATTGGTAATTGAGGTGAAACACTGAAGACTTCTTGTCCTAGACCTTGTTGATGGGTGTGATGAAATCTCTCCTCAAAACTCATCTTCTCACTATCCTACTTAGGATTTGCACAAGTTCTCTCTGTTCCAACCCACATAATCTGTCACACCCTGAACCTCACCTTTGTCTTAGATACCAGAAGACATCACAACACAGCCATTGTTTTAAACTATCACTTCATTATAGCTGTGCTCACATGGAGACCTGGCAGGTTCCAGGCAAGAAGATAAACCATTGACTGAACTGCAAAATGCCATGTACTCCAACATATTCTCAAACCTCCTAAAGGAAACCAGCTCTCCAACCACAAGATGGGGACTCAAGGAGCTGGCAATTCATCGTCACTTGTATATCAGTCTCTATTCTATATGCTGACCTCTGAAATGGCTCTTTTCTCCCCCTTCCTACACAACTCCCTTTGGTTCTCTGGTATGTCATGCTAGAGTTTTCTTCTTCTCCTGTCTCTACATCACATTCGACCACCTTGCTACACATGCTTGTGCTCATTTGTCATACTTCGTGAGGTCTTTCACTGTATGGGTGCCTTCATGCAGCGGGCATTGCAGCAGGTGTTACATACATCACAAGTGGTTGAACCAATGATATAGCCCGACTTCTTCATTAGTGTCCAACCCCAGAACAGAGGTAGTTGAGATCTTGCCACCTTTCCCATGGTTCATCAGCACCTGGTAGTAAGGACTTGGCTGCTGGAGTGTCCATTTTTCTGCTGTCACATATTTTCTTCAGCCTCCCATTCCACATCTGTAGTCATGTCTCCTTGGGTGGGTGCTGGTGAGGAAAGTCCTGCATGACTTCAGGCATTTGTGTTCTGTGGGGTGGTCATACAGTGGGTGTCTCACATCCCCAGTTTGCCTCGATCATTTTATCCTGCTGGCCACTGCTCTTCTGATGTCAGGGAGAGTGATGCCAGCCAGAGGGTACACGCTGTTTAGACACGTAGGATTCTGATATCCCATAATGCATCACAGCTATCATTCAGAATGGGGTCAAGGTGCTTGGTGTGTATGGATCTCTCCCATACCGGGCATGCACACTCAGCAGAGAAGCTGAGAGCCAGAGCAGTGGATAGAGTAGTTAAGGGGCTAGCTCCCAATTTAAGTTGATGAGCTTGTATAAAACGTTGTTCTAAGTGCTCACGTTTGCTTTTGTCTCCATGGGGTTCTTTGAATGAGAGGGTTCAATCAAGGGTACCTCCAAGGTAAACTGGGTTTGGATAGTGGGATAGTGGGGTCTGGGACCAGGCAATGCTGAGGTGGCAGTTGGCCTCATGGTTTTTCAGATGAAAGTTACATATTTGTGTTTACGCTGGTTTGTCACGTAATTGGTTTTCAATGTAGTATGAGGTTAGGCCAATTAGTGCCTTGTTCAGGGATTTTTCAACATGGTCAAAGCCAGTGTTTTGGGATGTTATGCAAAGGTCACTTGCATAGATGAAACATTACGTTTCCAGATTGATTGGCTGGTCATTTGTATAGATGTTATATAACAGTGGTGCAAGTACGCTTCCTTGGGGGAGGCCATTAATCTGTCGCCTCCATCTGCTTCTCCTATCCAGTCTGACAAAAAAAGTCTGTTTTTGAGCAGGGTTTGTATCAGCTCTGTAAGGTGTAGCTCTTTTGTCATTTCCAGGGTCTTGTGGAGGAGTCGTCGGTGGTTGACTGTATTGTAGGCGGCTGTTAGGTTGATGAACACAGCTCCAGTGATTTGGCTTCTCTAAAAACCATCCTCAATATGCTGAGTTAGATTGAGCAGCTGACTCATTGATTTTCCAGGGTGAAGGCTACCCTGTTCAGGAATTAGGTGCTTATCCACATATGGCGCAAGCCAGTTCTATATCAGTTGTTTGTACAATTTGTATGTGTGGCATAGCAGAGAGATAGATCTGAAGTTATTTGGGTTGGATGGATCTTTCCCTGACTTTAGAAGTGCCACAACGTGAGCATGTTGCCATATCTTTGGAATTTTTTGACTGGCTATGTAAGTGTTGTATAGGCAGAGGAACTATATTTGTTAAAATTGGAATGGTCATAATTTCTACAGCAAAAACTGAAGAAAACGACATTGAAATCCCAACCATCAAACTCAACAGAATAACAGTCACTTCAGTCTACAAACAACCTAACACGAGTTTCGCCTGTACAGATACACCAGGGATCACTCAGAATGAACTGTGATCCCTGGTGATCATTGGCAACTTTAACAGTCATGCAATGGGGTTACAATGAGACCAATAAAGATGGTAAATCAGTAGAAGCTTGAATGGACACTTACCAGTTGAGTTTGATCCATGTCCCAAAGCTACCTGAATCATTCAACAGTGACCACTGGAAATGAAGGTACAACCCAGACCTTATATTCACCATGTATACAACACCACTGCTGGGCTAAGTAATAAAATGGTGTTAGACCGGGGCAGGCAAAGTCCATCCCATGGCGGACTCCATTTCCCAGCAGCCCCTGCCCGGATCACTAGGGCAGGTCTCCACAAAGACCCCAGCAGCAGAAGTGTCATGACAGTGTGGGTCCAAGATTTCCATGGAGACTAGCCCCCATAGCTCTGGCAGGGCTTACGGCAGGGCAGGGTGCTGCTCTGGGCCAAGATCTTGTGGCAGAGCCAGGGCAGAGCTGCGATCCACTGCCCAAATGCCCCACATAGGGGCCTGCTGGTCATGGCTCTGCCCCAGCTCCGGACCACGCTGTCACCACTGCAAGATCCCAGCCCTGGCCCTGAACCAACTCCCTGCCCAGGAGCATGCCTTGCCAGTGCTGCTGGGGCCAGTCTCCATGGAAACCCTGGCCCCATGCTGTCATGATGCCACCAATCCTAGGGTCTCCGTGGAAACTGGCCACAGTGACATGGGCAGGGGCTACTGGAAATGGAGTCTGGCTGCTGGCCAGATATGCCATTTTGCCCACCCCCGTGGGACCCTATCCCACATTACTAGCGTCAACAAATTGACATTCAGAGCAGTTTCAGTAACACCTATAACAGTGCAATTCTGCCAATCATTCAACCTTAAAAAGGAAAACTGGGAAGGCTTTTCAGAATACCTTGATATCACATCAGAACCAAAGCACTGCCTGAGAACTATGACCAATTCATAAAAGCCGTACAGAAATCTTCAAGGAAAAACATCCTGGGGGGCTACCTAATGAATTACATCCCGAGCCTGACCCCGCAAACCACTGGCCTATACAAAGATTACAGGCAACGGTATGAAGTAGATCCTTTTTTTCCATAAACACCATCGCTACAGGTGAGGAACTCATATTAGCCATCACAGAAGAATGCAGAAAATCTTGGCAGACCTCGATTGAGTCAACTGATATGACACTAGAGTAAGAACAGCAGATTCCAAGAGCTTATGACAGATAACAAAGGTTAAAAGTAGGGCTGTGAAGCTTCAGTCCCTCATTCGATTTGGTGGAGATTTGGCCTGATTTGGTGGCTAAATCTCCAAATCCAAATCAAATCAGGAGACACTTTAATCTCTCTGAATTGAATCGGAACCCTCTGAATCGATTTGGAGAGATTCGGAGAGATTCGGCGATTCAGACATAGATACAGCGTTAAATGTTTTTTCTACATACCTCAAGGTACCAGGTGGCTCATGAGTGCTGCAATGCTGGGGTGTATGGAGCGTCCCACAGAAGTGGGGGGGGGGAGGGGGAGAGGCTCACCAGCGTGCTCAGCAGCAGCCCCAGAAGTGGACCAGAAGCATGCGCCAGGGGGAATGTGGGGGCAGTGCACTCCCCAGCAGACCCGGAAGTGGACCCAAAGTACTTCTGGTCCACTTCTGGGTTCACTGCCAAGCACGTGGAGGCCCCCCTATACTCCTGCGGGACACTCCATCTGCCTCAACATCGCAGTGTTCACGAGCCATGCTGGTACCTTGAGGTATGTAGACAAAACATTGAAAGCTGCATCTGTGGCCGAATCACTGATTCTCTGAATCCACATTGAATCTTCAGATTTGGATTTGGCCAGATTGAATCAGGGACAGAGATCTGAATCAACGAATCGAATCAACATTCCTGATTTGGACCGAATCCAAATCCAAATTGAATAGGGCCCGCTTTGCACACCCTTAGTTAAAAGCAAGAGGACAATACCCAATGAATAAGAATTCAAAGCCTATAGTATGACAAGCCAAGAGACTTTTTCTGACATTGCAAAGCCCCTCCACGGGGAGTTTAAAATGCTTGAAAATAAATAGTGGGGGGAGAAAAAAACCTTCTCTAAAAGTGTGTGGATCAAGAAATTCCAGACACCCTGAAGGAATCGCAGCCCAAGCCTGCTGAATTCAACCCATGGGTTTGTGAATTGGAAAAGCCAGTCATGAACAGCTGGTGAACAAAACAGCCAATATATCCCACAGAGAAGGGGATCCTTTCTTCATTCAAACGTGCCAAAGGCCAACACTGAAGAAACCTACCCCGAATATATCAGCTCTAGCCAACTCCCATCCAGCATCAAGCCTTTCAATTCCTGAACTGGCTCATACAGAGGTTTGTCAAAGACCATCTACGGACTTACCCGACTGAAGCTAAGGGCCTTGTTACACATTTCACTGTGAGTTGAACAAATGAGATTGGTGTTAGTGCTAGCTCCAGTTTGAAGCAGTCACACATCAGGCCAGCAGGGACCTGTAAAACTGAAAGGTAAGAATCCCCCCACCACCTCCACCCCTACCCCCACACTACTTCTGTGCTGTCCCCTTTGCCCCTGTCCCTTGGGGCTCTCCTGCCATGCAGCAAGTTAAGCCTTCCCTGCCTGCTCCCCAAGGACAGAGAAGGCAGCCACAAGTAAGCGGGGGGGTTGGGGGGGAGTGCAGGATTCTGTGATGCTGGGGAGAGCCCGATCCAGGCCAGCATGGAATAGGGGCTGGTGGGGTGTTTGCACTAAGGTGTAGCAAACAAATAAGCAAACAAAAAGGAGTTATGGATATACTTTTGCGTATAATACAAGGTGGGTAGTACAGATCAGAGATAAGCCTGCCCTGGAGTGGCATAACTTTGAGCGGCCTAACAAGGGTTTAGAACTTCCCGGTGTTACTGTGCAGACAATTCAGGTGTTAATGTTAAGAGCTCCAAGAGCCACCCAAAATGACCACGCAATAAGGCCCATAATACTCTAGATCCCAAACAATCTAGATTCAGGCCAGCAGAAGGAACTGAAACCATCTTTATGTCACTGTTGCATAATTGTCAGTCAATGCAGAGAGAGTAGATGCCCATTCTTACTCTCCTGGACCTCTCTGCAACACTGAATGTTATCATGGGCAACTGGTGCCTCCTGAGTGCGGGGGGGGTGGGGCACCAGATCGCCAACAGGGGAGGGGTCCCCCAGTGGCTGATTGCTGACTGGGGGGGAGGACTGATTGCCGATTGCTGAGCCTGGAACTACCAATGGCAAAACAAGAAGTGCACTTCTGCCGGCACTTCCAGTTTCCAGGCTGGTGCTTCCAGGGGGTTCACGGCCCATCTCAGGGGGTGCACGCGCACCCACATGCACCGTCTACATATCGCCAACGAATGCTGTTGACCATGAGCTGTCTAAGCTGAAAAACTGATGGCCAGGAACTGCATTAAAATGTTCTGAGTCCTTTATGTTTGAGAGCCTCAAACGAGTAGCAACAGGAGAGCTGAACTCTACCACTAAACTCTTGACAAATGGAATTCCACAAGGATCAATTTCTCTCTGCAGTTCTTTTCAACATCTGCATGCAGCCCACTGGGTGAACTGTCAGCTGACATGGACTTGAGTGCCAGCCACATGTAGATGACGTGCAAATCTTCCATCTGAAACCGCACCACTACAACCAAGCTAGCTCAATGTTTGGACAAGATCAACTGGGGAATTGATATAGGGGAAGCTGAAATGCAAACTCAATGCAGGTGATGCTGGTATGCAGAGTGCACAATCTCCTTTGGTTTATAGTACATACTCTCAATTCAGTTTACAACCTAGAATTACTGTAGGGACACATCTGCATGGTAGATTTACAATGCAATGGCTGCCTTCTAAATTTGAAACAGCAGACCTTCAGGCAGACTGGTCAGCAAGTAACCAGGAAAACTAGCATAGTAACCTACCAGTCCTGTGCACCCCAAGCACAGTGCTGCACAGACACAGCTGGATTGCTTCCAGTTTAGGAAGAAGCCTGGGCAGAGCAGCACAGCATGCTTGAGGGCATCCCTGCTGAGAACAAGAAGTTTACCACGGAGCCATAGCCCTGGATTACGCACTGATGTTAAGCTCTCACACAGCATCAAGTTTCTCTTTCCGTCAACTCCAGCTGGCTAGGAGACTCCATCCCATCCTGGCAGATAATGACCTGGCATCAGTTATTCACACCTTGGTCACCTCTTGCCTGGACTACAGCCACACAATATACCTGGGCACGAAGCCTGCAGCACTTAGGAAGCTGAACCAGCACAAAATGCTGCAGCACATCTTCTCAGTGATACAAGCAACCAAGTCTGTTCCCTCCACTCTTCACATGCAATTTTACATCAGGTTCCAATTTTTGGTCCTGTGCTTTCAAGGAATGCCATGGTTGGGGCTGTGGATATCTAAAAAAAAAATTGCTGAAAGCCCTTTGGTGAAGATGGCGATGGAGAATTTTGCTCATCTGGCATGATGGACAAAGGCAAATCTCATCTGTCTGGGAGACCCACCTTTCTTAGGGGCAAATCCAAGACTGCAGAGTGAACTCCTTGCTAAATTGGAGCCAGGGTCATCTTAGTTTGTAAACAGGAGTTATCCCTTTTTCTTGTCTCTGGACATTTGTAATTGCTTGATTCTTGCAAAACTCACCTCATTCAGGATGGATGCAAATAAGCAAACAAAAAGGATTCATGGATACTAGCAAGACCAGGAAGCTTTATTGAAGGGCATTCAGTTTTTTTCCTGTAGTCTCCCAGTTCTAATTAGAGCTAATTGCATGATGACTGAGTTTTTCAGAAAAAGTGAAATTACTCTGCTATGCATGGCTTGTTCCAACCAATACAGATTAGAAACCAGCATATTCCACAAGGTTTAGGATCTGAATTTTCCCAGATATTCCCAGAATATAGAGTACTTGATCTTGGCCAATCTATCAATGAATAGCATCAGAAAATCTGCAGGCAATAGTCACTCATGGCTGAATCTTAAAAGCTTCTGTTTGTTTCACAGTGGTAAGAGTTTAAAGTTTTGACTGGTTTATTGGAATATTTCTGATAGAGAAATCAAATATTCTTGTGAGATCACCAAAAGATTAAGTCAGACGCACCACATAAACAACCTTTTGTATAACCTTTGCCAATTAGCTCAGACCAGAAGCAGAAGTCCCAGCAACAAACAAAAATTCATTTAAAGCTGACTTTAAAAAATGATAAAAGTTTGTTTGATAAACAGCACAGAGCATACCCTGTCCTAAGCAGTCTTTTAAAAGCCATGCCTTCGAAATAACCATTGCTAATTATTTATCATCTGATGTTTCTGGCTTATGTTTTACAGCCAAGATACCTGTTAGTATATATAAGCAATGTTTTGTTTTGTTTTTTTGCTCTGCTCTGTCTGGTTAGATGAGCAATAAAATGAGAAAAAAATCCTCATTTAGTTTATAAGCAAGGTCTTCAGCGACAGTTAATAGTGATTTGATCTCAAAATGTTAATGGTTCCACTATGTTCAGAAAAATAATCTAAAATGTATATGATGTTCATAGTCAGCCTTTTGACTTTAACCCATTTGTCCAGATTTATCAAAAAAGTTTCTCACAAGATTTCCTGGTTTGATTCTGAAGGTATAGAGCAGGGGCGGGCAATTATTTTGGGCAGAGGGCTGCTTACTGAGTTTTGGCAAGCCATCGAGGACCGCATGACAGCCAGCCAGGGCAGATTAATATTAATTTTCTAAATTTTTTAGGGGCCCCACAGGCCAGATAGAATGGCCTGGCAGGCCGCATCTGGCCCCGGGCCGCTTTTTGCCCACCCCCAATATAGAGCTACAGGAACTTGAAAAATAATGGTAACAAATACTTATTATCCCAAAGGGTTCATCAGCCTCAGCCAAGAGTTTGTTCTCCTCTGGCAATTAAACCTGAATGAATTCTTGCTTGGATATTTCCTACTCTAAAAGTCTTACAGAAAGTGCTTATATTACTTACCTGTATTACAAATTCCACTGGCTTTTCTCTCATTTGCCCATTGACCAGAAAGCCACAAGTGACTTTTCTGTAGCTATAAATGAACACTTATCTATTTGCCCAGCATCTCTGCTGTGTCTGTAGTATACTTCCATGGCATTAACATCCACCTGTATAAACTGGCTCCAGTGCAAAACAGTCTCTTTCATGTATAGGTGGCCATACTGTGGGTGCTGGGTCACTATGTAAGTCAGGTTCTTTAATGGACTGTCCAGGTCGCTAAGCTGAAGAACATCTGGTGAGATCACTCCTGTGCCACTCTCCACTACATGGATGCCTTTGTTGTTAACCAAGGTAGGGGGAACGCGATCAGCGTGCTCAATATTGAACTCCAGCTGCCCACTTCTATTCATCTGACCATTGGCAATGGTGAAACTATTTAGAAAGGAAGGGAGAGAGGATATAATGTGTTATGGATTAAAACAAAATCCAAGCCCCCTCTGCTGCAAATTAACCTCACGTTGCTGTTCTTCACTGTTGTCAAGTTAACTGTGGTTCAAGGTAGGGTGAAGAGACAGGTTTGTCTGTCACTACAACTGGATCCCATCACTGCTTGGTGTGGCAAATTCACCTGAGCACAGAGGAGGCGCCCACATGAGCAGTGACTGAAGACCCTTTTGTCCTGACAGTGAAGCAGTGCCTCCTGATGTCCAGCCTGAACCTACTCTCAGTCAACTTCTGGCCATTGTTTCTTGTTACCCCCGGTAGTGCTTGGGGGAGCAGGGACACTCCCATAGCCTGCTGGTTCCCCTTGGCAAGTTTGTAGATGGCCACCAGATCCCCGCTCAGCCTTCTCTTGCGGAGGCTGAACAGGTTCAGGTCCCATAGCCTCTCCTCGTAGGGGCTGCCCTGCTGCCCCCTGATCATGCGAGTGGCCTCCTCTGGACCCTCTCCATGCTGTCCACATCCCTCCTGAAGTGCGGCGCACAGAACTGGACACAGTACTCCAGCTGCGGCCTGACCAGTGCCGCGTAGAGGGGGAGGATCACCTCCTTGGATCTGTTCATGATGCAGAAACTAATCTTAACAGCATAAGTCTTTTTAAGTTCATTAAAGAGCTCCAAACCAAAGAACAGATGAGGCAGGTGAACACACGTTGAAATACACAGGGGCAAGGGTATGGAGATGTGGATGAGCACTTCACTTGGCTAATCAGATTTTCTCATACCAACTATAAATCACTGCAAACACCAGGACTTAGACATCTAGACATCTTTTGACACCAACCATCCCCACCCCCTCCCAATTTCCAGCATTTCTACCTATGTTCTTAGCAGAAAATATTACAGCTTCCATCACTTTCACATTATCTTGCCCTTCAGAGATTTGGGCCAAAAGGAAAATTCCAAGTGAGAAAAACATCCAAGCATTTCAGAACTTCTGAGGAAAATAAAGCTGTTTTGGGAAAAGTTCTAAGATGGTGGGTAATGGCTTTTGTTTTCTCGCAAACTCTTTATTAATCCCTAAATCAGAGCATCCTGGGAAAACGCAACTGAGGACAAAAAAATGAAAGTTAAAGTTTCATCCCAAAATTTTATATTTAAAAAAATTAGAAAGAAGTAGCAGTGTTGTAGCCATTATGGTCCATGGAATATTTGATAAGAAAGATTTTTTTGTTATTGGAAAAATTATATAGTTGGGAGAGATGTCAGACAAACTTTCAGATGCACAGAAAAAAGTTTAGCTCGTATTAGACAGCAAATAACGTAAGAGGGTAGCGAGATCCTCCCAGGGGCTCCTCAACTTAAACACGTAAGTTCTAAAAGCCCTTGCTCCACCAGTGCCTAAGAAACAAGGGTCACTTTTGTCTTGAAAGTACCACCACTCACCTATATTTTACCCCTTCTTCAAAAGATCCTTAGTGCCTACAATGATCTTGCTTGCTGCCCCGCTTCACCACTCCTCTGCTTCCTTTGGAAAGATGTAAACACTGGGTACTACTAAAGAGTAGTCCCAGCTCTCAGTACACAATTGAGCCTGGCCTCCATCGAGAAGCTATAAGGAAGTGTGAAAACACTTTGCCCCTTCCCAAACACCCATTTGGAGGTACCTAATGCGCGGAAATTATTTCCCACCCACTATGGTGAGGAGGTTAAAAGGATTACTCCCATCCTGGTAAAACAAATCAGTTATGCCAACAATATACCGTGGCTACATAGCAGAGGGTCCTCATCCTCTGCTCCTTGCTCTGAAGTCAATAGGAGGTTTGCCCGAGTAAAGAATGCTGGATTGGTGCCACAATTCATAAAGCTACTTGAATGGTTAAATGTACTACCCGTATGGCATCTCACTCTTGTAGTGATGCACTTTGAGTGCTGCATTCGGCTTAAATAATATATGGTATTTTTTTTTATTTAGCTTCTAAGCCTGTAAAGTGTCCTCAAGTAGGTGAAAGACATGGCTGGTCTTCACTTCCTCTTTACAGAAAGGTTGCAGAACACAAAGAGCAAAATGACAATATTTACAAATCTAGCCAGTGTTAGATACTCTCAGGCCTTCCAAACTAAAAAAGGATCGAGCTGAGATTTTCGTAGGTATGGCTTAGATCTCTGAATACTGCACTTCATGTTCTTAATCACATCTGCTCCAGAGATGAGGCTATGAATAATTAACTATGCCTCCAACATTACAGTCATAGATTCTGGTGGTGGTGACTGGTGGACTGCCATGCACAGCATAAACCATTCAGGAAACTCTGTTATCCACTTTCCCTTTATATTTGTCTTGCAATCACTTACTGCTTAAAAGGGTAAATCTTTCAGAGCTTTAATTAAAGCATTTAAAATAATTTACACTGAAATTGTATGTGCTCGGGTCTGTCAAAATTGATGCTTTAATAACATGTCATCCCTTTTTTCGATTGCCCTGAAATCTGTTAAAATTACCACTAATCTAATTGGGAACAAAGTTGTCAAATGCACGCAGCTCTGACAGTTTGTCTTTCTGCAAACTGCCGACAGATTGCAAGTTACGCATGTGTTGAGCAGATGGGTAAGTTAAAAGGAACACAAAAAAAAGCAATTTATTAAATCACCTGGAACCAGCAGCTCCATTCCAAAAATAGTGAGAATGAAATATAGCAAGAGCTAGGAGAGTTGGCACTGGAATATGCCAGAAGGTACCAGTTACAAAACAAGATAAACATTTTGAGAAGCCTCAGCTGTGTTGCAGAATAATGAGGAGTTATTTAACCCGATATAGATTATCAGCAGAAATTAATTTAGGGTGCAGGGTTTTTTTAATGATTTTTTAATCCCTATATTTAACTCCTTGATTCCTGAAAGACAGGCATCTCTTACTCTCCCCCTTCCTCTTCCTGGAGCCTTCTACTATATCTGCTTTAAATAGTCAATGGCAGTGTGGGAGAAGAGACATACAGATGGTGCCCTCTCCTACAGGTACTCAGCGCATAATCTCTTTCATGTGTTCAGCCTCCATTTATTGAGAGGATGCTGAATCCAGCCATGAACATGGAGCTGAGAATACTATAGCAGCAGTGCACCTCCAAGCTAAGAGTTTAGATTTTATTTCACATGGAGAAAACCTAAAATTTAGATGCAAGCTGAATACATATGGTAAAATGTCAGGTCTCTCCAAATGCAACAGGTGCCCCTAAACTGCTCAGTGTGGACACTTGAGTCACCAAGAATTGTTTATTCATAACAGCAGAGTGCATAAGAACATAAGTGATGCCTTATTTAGTCGGACCACAGGTCCACCTTTAAGTAAGGTACAGGCGACCCCCACTTAGCGCCTTAATTGGTTCCTGAAAAACCGAGCGTTAAGTGAAACAAGCGTTAAGTGAAACCAGAAGTATTTGACGATCCAAGATGGTGACCGCAAGTGTTTTTAATAACCCAAGATGGTGACCATAAGCGTTATAACAAAAGTCGCTGAGCACCAAGTGGAATTAGGTATCAATTTAAAATGAGTGTTATAGCGAAATAGCGTTAAGCAGGGGCTGCCTGTATATCTAGATGGATTTGTGCCCTCCCCATCTCCCACTGACAGCCACCAGCATTCAGAAGTGTCTAGTCAGAGAGCAGGTCCTAAATGTGCTAAATACCAGGCAGGCGAACAGCAAAGTTCCCCACCCCAGAAAGCGTACAGTCTGAATAAAACACAGGACGCAATAAGTGGACAAACCAGATGCATTGGCACAGAGAGTGGGGATAACAAAGGGCTGATTGGCAGATATTGCGGCAAAGCTAAGTTCTAAATAGTGGACCTGAAAAAGGGCATGGCCTGGCTTTAGCAATTTTGACTAGGAGATTGTCCTAAGTGTAGATTCTGCAGACATTTAAAGGATAAGTGAACATGAAGACAACTGAGCCATTTGGACCCATGTGGTGCCTTCTCTCTACTCAATCATGTGGTCTTGGAAAAAAGACCTGAAAAGGAGCCAGCCAGAGACTCCAGCCAGTAGGGCTCTGCAAAGCTTCAGTCCCTGATTCGATTTGGCGGAGATTCAGCCCAATTTGATGGTTGAATCTCTGAATCTTCCGGGCCACTTCTGAGTCCACCAGGGAGCATGCAGGGGCCCCCCCGGCATTCTCCTGGCTCAGCGACTGGTGCCTCTCGAGTCTGGGGGGGCACCCGGGGTCCCCCCTCAGCCAATTGCCAAACCAAGGGAGCACGGGGGGGTGGGGGCAGCGCACTCCCCAGCGGACCCAGAAGTGGACTGGACATACTTCTGGTCCACTTCCGGGTTTGCCACCGAGCACGTGGAGGGTACCCCCGCACTCCTATGGGACACTCCATGTGCCCCAGCATCGCAGCAATCGCAAGCCGCACTGGTACCTCAAGGTCTGTAGAAAAAAAGTTTAAAGCTGTGTCTATGTCCGAATCGCTGATTCTCTGAACCAGCATCAAATCTGCAGATCTGGATTCAGCTGAATTGAATCAGGGACAGTGATCTGAATCAACTAATTGAATCACTGTCCCTGATTCGGGCCGAATCTGAGTCAAATACGGCCCGTTTCACACATGCCGACCAACCAGTAGGAGCAGCTGCAGGGACCTTACCATGTTCAGAAAACATCCTGTAGGTTCAGACCAGGTTTTCGCTGCCCTGTGTTGATCAGCTGTTTATACAAGCCATCTACCTTCCTCAGGGTAACTTCACCTCAGCTTCACTCTGCCCATACCCATCTCACCAGATGCCCTCCCAGCCCACCATCTCCTTGCCCTTCATTTTCTTTCCATTTATCTGATCCCCTTCTAAATACCCTTCCAAATAAAACCAAGGGACTAACATGCCTTTAGCTACCATTCTATTGTTCTTCGTTCTGCCAGTGCAATGCACCCTTCCCTCACCCTGTGTCTGGCTTCCACTATAAACTCTCAGGGGAAGGACTGTCTACTACTCTGTGTTT